GTGCCACAGGAAAGGCAGTATATACAGAGAAGACAAGTAATGATTCTATAGCATCTTACTACGCTGATGGACAATGACTGTAATGGTGTATGTGGGGGGGACTTGATAATTGGGGGAGTCTAGTAACCATAAGATTGTTCAAGTAATTGTACATTAATGATATCAAAACAAAAAAATATATATATGGAGAGCAAAGGGCCCAATATCATTAGTCAATACAATTTAAAACCACAATGAGATACCAGTCCTCTCTCCTATTACAAGGGCTAAAATTAAAAGGATCAATTATACCACGTATTGGCAAGGATGCAGAGGAAGTAGAACTCTCATACACTGTTAGTGGGAACCTTAAATAGTACAACTAACTTTGGGAAACAGTTTGGCAGTTTAACAATGTATACTACCATATCCAGTTATCTCACTCCTTACTAAATATATAAAAGAAATGGAGGCATGTATGCACACAAACCTTGTACATAACTGTACCAAACCATTTTTACACTAGCCAAATTTTGGAAACAATTCAAATGTCCATCAATAGGTGAATGGATTTTTTTTTAATTGTGATGTATTCATATAATGGAATACTGCAAAGGGGAAAAAAAAGCACTACTGACACACCCAACAATACAGATCAATCTCAAGATAGTTGTGCTGAGGGAAAAGAGCCTAAGAAAAAGAGTACATACTGTATGGTTCCATTTGCATAAAATTCTAGAAAATGTAAACTAGTCTACAGTGACAGATCAGTGGTTACCTGGTGTGAGGAAGTGAGCAAGGACAGAGATAGAAGAGTGATTGGAGAGGGACACAAGGATACTCTTGGGAGTAACAGATATGTTCTCCTTATGTTGACTGTGGTGATGGTTTCAAGGGTCCGTACATGTTCAAATGTATCAAATTGTATATTTTAAATATGTGCAGTTTATCTCAATTACACTTCAATAAAGCTGTTTTTAAAAGAGAAATACTTTTTTAAATGAATAAACAAGTATCTTTGTTTAAATGGAACAAAGAGAAGCAAAATGTTGGTACTTGCTAAAGCTGGGTGATAAGTACACTGTATTACTCATCTGCTTTTATGCATGTTTGCATTTTCCATAATAAAAAGGTTTTGTTAAATCCCATTTACACCATTTACCAGCTGTGTGAATTTCTGTAATTCAGTTTGATTTCCTGAGAGTTCATTAACTTAAAAAGGGAATAATAATAAAATGTACCTCTTGAGATCACTGTGAACATTGAAGCAACTAATGTGTGAGAGCCTGACACATAGTAGGTTCTAGTATATGACAGCTATCCTCCTTCCCTAAACAGTCTAGACTTTACTGACACCTCCCCCTAACTCTTACATCTATTATAATCTGGATCCATCACACTGACACTACAGCTCCTGAACCTTTTGAATATGCCAGCCTTTCTGCAGGCAGAACACTGCAGTGATTAAAGATTGCTGGTCTCAGAGCCTAATAGCTCAGCTGTAAGACTGGGATCCATCCCTTATTAGCTGAGAGATAAGTTCCCATATCTGTGAAATTCTGAAAACAGTAACTACCTCAGAGCACAGTGACGAAAATTGACTGACGAATGGATGACTGGATTTTTATTTAAAAATCGTTAAGTTCTTTTCATCTGTGAGTTATGTATTTTCAATTACATTTGTTTCCCCAAAATGATTAACACATCATACCTATTTAGCAATTGTTTAATGAATTCAAGACAAAACATTATTATTACTACTCTTACAATTTTTTAATCATAGAATAATAGAATCAATAATAGCTAAAGGTGAGTACTTACTATGTGTCAGTATTCTATTAAGTTCCTTACATTCATTACTACATTTTATTTCTTACTACCACCCTGTCATAATATTACTACTCTTTGAGGAAGCACTTGAGGCTTAGAGAGGTTGAGATCTCATGGCCAACAAGTGGCAGTCCTGGGATTTGAACCTTGGTCTAGCTCCAAAGACTGAGCTACTAAAGCTCTACACCACACTCTATGTAAAAACTACAGAAAAAAATATGAGACATTTAACGCCATAATAAACAACAATTATGTCGACTGTAAGCTATCTGACAGCTTGCACCAAGCTTTTTGAAGTACTATCTCTCACCACAATGTATGGAGAAGTCACTATACTTAGGAACCCTAAACTGATAAACTTTCATAGACATGAACAAAACCACACAAAGTTACTACAGACATCATTAATAGTCACTGGTCCTGGGATTGCTTCCAGCAAATCACTTCAAAAAAACTTTTGTAGACTGTCTTCAGTGATGAAGCTTCTCAATTTTCCAACTATTAGACATTCAAGAAGTATTTCCTGAATGGAAACATGCTACATCAAATTGTAAAGAATGTTGTTTTACTTATATTCAAATAACACATGCAAAGACAGAGGGGAAAGCCAGCTTCTAAACACATCAGAGCAAGTACTACATGTGAATCAGATGTTTTCAAAAATGTTAAGTGAAGGAAAACAAAAGATAGCATTTAAAATTGAGAAGTATCAGCAATCTGCCACAGAATTACAATCATGATAAACCTGTACACACCTGTTTCTTCAGCATAAGTTTTGGCAAGACTCCCAGAACTAAAATTACATTACCTAATGAATAAAAACAGTAATAAGGCAGCATGAAACTAAAATGACAAAAACATCACTGACACTACAGCTCCTGAACCTTTTGAATATGCCAGCCTTTCTGCAGGCAGAACACTGCAGTGATTAAAGATTGCTGGTCTCAGAGCCTAATAGCTCAGCTGTAAGACTGGGATCCATCCCTTATTAGCTGAGAGATAAGTTCCCATATCTGTGAAATTCTGAAAACAGTAACTACCTCAGAGCACAGTGACGAAAATTGACTGACGAATGGATGACTGGATTTTTATTTAAAAATCGTTAAGTTCTTTTCATCTGTGAGTTATGTATTTTCAATTACATTTGTTTCCCCAAAATGATTAACACATCATACCTATTTAGCAATTGTTTAATGAATTCAAGACAAAACATTATTATTACTACTCTTACAATTTTTTAATCATAGAATAATAGAATCAATAATAGCTAAAGGTGAGTACTTACTATGTGTCAGTATTCTATTAAGTTCCTTACATTCATTACTACATTTTATTTCTTACTACCACCCTGTCATAATATTACTACTCTTTGAGGAAGCACTTGAGGCTTAGAGAGGTTGAGATCTCATGGCCAACAAGTGGCAGTCCTGGGATTTGAACCTTGGTCTAGCTCCAAAGACTGAGCTACTAAAGCTCTACACCACACTCTATGTAAAAACTACAGAAAAAAATATGAGACATTTAACGCCATAATAAACAACAATTATGTCGACTGTAAGCTATCTGACAGCTTGCACCAAGCTTTTTGAAGTACTATCTCTCACCACAATGTATGGAGAAGTCACTATACTTAGGAACCCTAAACTGATAAACTTTCATAGACATGAACAAAACCACACAAAGTTACTACAGACATCATTAATAGTCACTGGTCCTGG